CCTGAAGTTATGGTTGATTGCTCTTCGGCTGGATATCAACACACCCATTAACGTAAACTACGCCAGAGCGCGTACACACCTCACGCACCGGATGCCGTGCGCACGCTCAAAGACAGTTGGACATAGTGGTGTATTAGAGGTAAAATATGAGATAAATACTGTTGGGTTTCTGGCACAAACCGATCGTTTCGTGTCTTAGGACATCAATGTGTCGTCACGAGCCGCAGGGTTTAATTTGGATTTGTCTGTGCATGTTTTTTTTACTCTCATAGATTTTGTTACCATTGCCATGCATTATACGACTGACAGACTGCAACAGTTAAAGTTAAAAATCGTCATATGTGTTCTACTGAAGAAACAAAGTCACCTACATCTTGGATGCCCTGCAGGGGGTAAGCAGATAAACATCACATATTCATTTTTGTGTGAACTATCCCTTTAAAGCCTTTTGAAAACTTGACATAGTACTAAACTAATAATGTAAATGTAAATGCATATCTCTGATGAGAACATTGAACTCCTAAATTACATGCTTACACATTGCTTTTCTTTTTTTTTTATATGAAACTTTATTTACATTCGCATGAACACGAATGTATAAGACCAACAAAATAAATCTCTCTAAGGAGCAAAAACATAATATATAGGTGTTAAACATGAGACAATATCTAAATAATGTAATGTACAGGTGCATGAAATCAATTGCAAAATAAGCTTATTATTAATGGTTTTCATTAGTGTAAGATTTATTGCATTAAAGTCTTTCTGTATTTAAATGTACACTTCTCATGTAAGTGTTTTTGAATTAAGAGTAAATGTATAATAATGTAAAAGCAGTTCTCTGATGAGGATATTGCAACCCTAAATTACATGCATGCATTTACGTACATATTGCTTTTTACATTGCATGTTTTTTAAAATATTTTTTTACATATTTATTCTTAACACACAACCCTTTCAAGGAGCAAAAACAAGAGGCTAAATATAATAAAATATCAACAACAAAGTAGGTAAATATTGTGAAATATGGCGGATATTTTAAAAGCTTTGAATTTATAGAGTTTTCTCTTGAGGTAAACTTAGCCTACATTTAAAATAGAGCCAACTTTTTTAATCGTACGGGCTTTAAAAAAAATACAGTGGAATATCATTTGCTTCTAAATGTTTGGTTATATGACATTTTCTAGTAGACAGAGCACATTAAATACAGCGATGTCTCCTCTCATTGGTCACTTTTCCCAGACCCCTGGCGTCCAGCAGCCAATGAAAT